ACACACAATATATATAAATAAATACTAAAAAAATGAATATATATATATATATATATATATATATGCATGATCATTATGTGCACATTGTGTATGCTTACATATTCAGAAATGGATGCTGCAGTAGTTGTCCCGGCGTTGGCCGTTCACCAGGCCTTATCCTCAGACACAACGATATAAAATCACGCATCTCGTCGCTCATTGGCAGATTCACAACTCCCGTGTCCCGATTGAAGCAGTCAGCAAATCTCTCCTCTAGCAGAGCTGCATGACTCATACAAATCTTCTGTAACGCACTACGTGTGCTATACCGTTCTCCTGGTAAAACACTAAAACTCTTGTCATCTTGGTCAGCAGACTTTTCCCCACCGATACCCACACCCACACAATCCTCATCCGCTGTACCACCAACATCCAACGGGACATCTTGTGCGAGCATCAGAATATCGCACAGAAGTTCTTCCAGATCCTCTGATTTTCGGACCGGTCTACTAGCGTTGCCTTGGTTACCATCTGCCCTCACACTCGCCGGACCATACCTACTGCCCTTTGCCTCTCCGAGGCTACTCTTCTTGCGGCTGTCCCCACCGTTACTATGCTTGCCATCATGATGGGAAGTACCATACTCTGAGGCATTCCGTCTATCCGCATTGCGAATGTCCTTATCACTACGTAAATTATTGTTTCCTGTAGATCGGGCAGCAGTGTCAGCTGTAGCACCCCTATCTCGCTGCCATAGATACGACCCTAACGTCAACTCGAGCAATATCAGCCCGAGTGCCCACACATCAAACTTCGGATTAGCGCCTGCGTCCACTACAACATCTGATGCCACATTCCCCACAGCACTCGTCTCGTCACAGTCCGAATGACAACCTGGCAGAGGGATATGCCTGCCCTTGGGATCGACTGAGAGGACCGGGTGTGTGGTGTGCACGGGAATCACTGAGCCTGGATCCGTACTCGCCTTAGCGAACTCCAGCGCCAGCAGCTCTGGGGCCATATACTCAGGCACACCAAAGGGGAAGGCCACCTCGGCGCCGTTGGCTGTGAGATAGAAGTCACCGTACCCGCTAAGCCTCACGTCCCCACCCGAAAACTTAGTTCCTTCGGGGCCCTTATGTCTACTTGGTTTACACTGACACCCGTTTGTATGTTCAGCATCGGTCGTAGGCCTGGTTCTGGTTGCACCGGTGGGTTGGATGATAAACTTGTCTGGCGTACACTCCCGCCTACAGCAGCGCTGCCGAGTGTCTTGTGAGCCCGGCCTCTGTGCTGCACCGATATTATCCGTGCCGTCATCAAATCTAGCGGCTTGCCCCATACTCTCCGTGCGACTGAGGGAAGAGTGTGTAGACGATTTTTCTTCGGCACTGTCCGTCCACGTTTTTCGCATCTGAGCCGAGAAGAGGGACAAAGCGGTAGAAGGTTATTGATGGCTACACAATATAAAGCTGTCATTAAATGTTTTTAGAGGACGTCTGTTGTTGAACACGCAAACAAATAGAATCCCGAGCTGTATCTACAAAATGTGTTTGATAAAAAACTATCATTCCAGGTGTCTCGATGCCAATATTCCTCGCAGTCAAAGCTACAGGTCAGGTTTGGATCTGTAAGCCGAACCACCATGAAGAATTAGAGCTAAATGCCAAGTTTGACCACATCCGCATTAAATATCATCAAATGGGCACGGAATTTCGTGAAAGAAAGCGATGGTATGGAGGAGGGGTCAGGATAGGCTTTCGATCATCCGGTTAACTCCGGGGCAGAACGATTACCCTGAATACTATCGGATACTACCCCTCCGAATTACTATGACAGTGTTGTACAGTCGAATATGATTGACTACCTACTTATCATCGCATGACTATGCACAGGGAAACGTCCATCTATCAGATTTGTATCTCGTTCCAGAGCAGAGTGAACTGGAGACTCCCAGGCGACAAAAGGTGGTTTTGTGTTTGTATCGCCAAGAAAACATTCGCGACACACTCGTAAATTCATACACATCCCCAGAAGCACGCAGTCGTTTTTATATAAACCCGGGCTCACACATTGTATTGAATCTTGCAGCTCAAGAGTCACTCCACCCTGTGAACTGACGAGTATTTAATATCAATTCCCCTTATTCTGATAAGTATATCCTTTCAACTCGCATCTACATAGTACAGAAAATATGGGCGTAGTGTAAAGCATCTGGTAACTTATACACTGCATACCTGTTCTTAATTCTCACGTGCCTAGAAGGGTACGGTAAACCGACACTCTCCACGTGGCTGACATTTAGCAGGAGTATCGTGAACATTTTGAGCGCATAAGACGACCATCACTCGCAAAACCTGTCAGCACATTGCGCTATCATTGCAGCTTCTCACAGCATGTCTCGACTAAAGCCACAGCTTTAAGTCGGTATACAATCGTTCCCAGTCCACACATCCGTTGTACGGTGTGAGCACCTGCACAATATGTCGTATTGCACTATAATATACGAATAAACATATTCAATAGGCAACCATCACGTAACACGGCCGATCCCCTCATCAAACTAACGGGCTCAAAAGCCATTACATCTCAATCAATTCACGCCTACCTCGTACGGAATAGTGAGTTGTATACTCTCCGGTGACAGGTGCCGGTGGCAAGTACCCAATGTGTTCAGATGGTGCAACGCACAGACGATCTGTACAGTCCAGTGACGAATCTGGTCCTCTGGTATAGGTACACCACTCGCAATGACATCGCTCAGTGTGGTGGTGTAGGCCTCGGAGACTACCATCACCCTCTCTGCAAGGTAGGGATGGTAAAGTGATAAAGGTGCATAATTTGGTCATTTTTGTACATGAACGTTGCTAATCTATACATCTACACACACACATATATATATAGATATACACATACATACATACATACATATATATATATATATATATATATATATAATATATTACACACATATATATATATGTATTTTATTATATATATATATACATATATATATATATATATACAGATATATATATATATATATATTAGTATAATATATATATATATACAAATATATATATATATACATATACATATACATATACATATATATATATATATATAAGTATATATATATATATATATATATGTATATACGTATATGTATATATGCATATACATATACATATCCATATCCATATCCATATATATATATAGGCCTAAAACTACGTATACATACTGACATACAGAGACAGAGACAGAGACAGACACGGACACAGACACAGACACACACAGACATATATATATATATATATGTCTGGTGAAAATGTGAACATTCCAGACTGCCAGTACCATTCCTGCACGACTTCTATGACAACTCTAGTGGGTTAACACCGATTTTAGTCTCTTGGTTCCATTCTTGTTGCTCGTGTATGTAATAGCCTATAACTTTCATGATACCGATTTATAAATACCGCTACAAAAGACGGTGAAGACTGGGAATACTGCTGACTGGTAGCAATATCCTGGCGAACACCAATCAGATTCTCTGTGTTTCTAGCCGTTCACACAAGCAAACAACACTTTACGATCATAAAATCAGAAAGATCAATACGCGGGGGCGGCGGTACAAAGCGTTGAAATTGGGACATATATCGGAGGTCAATGTAACTGCAATAAGTAAGCACATACGCACGATGCGCGCTGTGAGAGAGCCTGTGCAATGGTATACATGCAGGTGGCGAATGCCTCCCTTATAGTACACGCAGCGACCGATAACATTGCTTGGATGCTGCTCGGAGTTTCCATACGCACTTTCTCCGTCCAATTTGAGAGAACACAACCAAATCTTTCTTCAATTCAAAGTAACTTCTAATCGTTTTGGCCAATTTCCGACAACTTGCCGATTCCTTTCTACAATTTCCGAGACATTCACAGTGCCTTTTGCCTTTTCAACCATTTAACAACACAGTATTACGCGTATTCCAAATACACACCATGATCGCCAATGACAAGGTCGATGTACTCGCACAGGTGTGGGTGTCGAATGCCCTTGAGACTCTCAAAGCGACCGGTCATATTGACCGAGTAGGGAGTGTACGGCAAGCCATTGTCAGCTCTACCGAGATTGAACGCAGGAACGTAAGCAGATTACATTAAAATGTGAATGGTGGCCAGATGTAGTTATGTGTAGCACTGCGGGGATCAAGAACCATTTTAGATGTAAAAATGCTATGCATATAATTTGCAGCAACGTGATATGTGAAAAATGCTGATGCCAAGCAACGAGAATAAGGCATATACTGTTCACGATTAATTGGTTACATGGCTCTAAACACTTAACAATACATCAAAATTCAGAAATTGGAATGTCAACCTTATCTGAACCATTAATAATAGAATACATACAGCATAGTCACTGGAGTCTACCACGTGTACACATCCCTAGCCATCACAAACCAACCCAACCAGGCAACCTGGCCGACGATATGCACACATCAGATACCATACATACCTCTCTGCCCCAGATAGTGAGATGGCAGTGAATATATGCACCCCAAGAGACCCCATACTTTCACAATAGAGGAGTGGTGGTACTACTACAGGCTGTATCCCATTGTGGGTATGCCCTATTTCTCGGTAGCGCGTCCCAGGATGGCGATTAGACTATAGATAGTGGGAGAAGTGAGTTGAATGACCAGTTAGATAAGTCATTGACACATATATTATAAGGAAGGTAGGGATTATAGATTGCTCAAATTCGGGTGTTCCAAGGAATGAGAGCAAAAAAACAGCAACCCCAAACTTGCCGAAATCTCTGAAGGTTAGGGCATTTCATAGATGAGGCAAGGTGTATGCACGCTGTTTTAAGGAAGCTCTTCCTCTTCGATACACACGTGAACAGAGAAACCAGTCTCTTTCTCTTTATATACATGCAAATATATACGTATATATACATATATATATATATATATATATATATATATATAACACACACACACA